ATGGTCAGAACTGCTGGGGATGGTCAGCACTGCTGGTCAGCACTGATGGGAATGGTCAGCAGTGATGGGAATGGTCAGCACTGATGGGAATGGTCAGCACTGCTGGTCAGCACTGCTGGTCAGTGCTCCTGGGGATGGTCAGCACTGACAGGGTGGTCAGCAGTGATGGGAATGGTCAGCACTGCTGGTCAGCACTATTGGGGTGGTCAGCACTGATGGGAATGGTCAGCACTGCTGGTCAGCACTATTGGGCTGGTCAGCACGGCTGTGGCCAGCAGCCCCCCTCCAGCTGGGGCTCAGGGAGGGTGGCCAAGCCTGGAGGCTGCTCTGCTTGCCCCGCAGAGGTGACAAAGGGACACGGTCCCAGCACTGCACCGCTCGGTGTCCATCCCAGCTCCGTGCCAAACCCCACACCCTGCACGGACTCAGCCCCGTTTCTGCTGTTTCTTCCCCCAAAGCTGGGTGGAGGCAGCACGTGGGCAGGGTCCACGATCCCTCCGTAGTGCAAAGCCCACTGGGGGACACAGAGGTGACAGCAGGGCCCTGCCACGGCTCCCCAGGGCTCAGGGGACAGAGGTGCCTTCCGTGCAGGAAGGAAGGAAGGAGGGACCATTCTGGACAGGAACAACCAACCCACCATCCTCATCCACCAGTCACTAACCAAGGCAGGAGGGCAGGAAAAGTCCAGCTCTTGGGGTTTTGCTTCCATGTCGTGGTGGGGCCAGTCCGTCCCCAGGCAGTGGCAGCGTGAGGGACACGCCAGCAGCAACAGGTCGGTGCCATTGTCATTGTCATCGTCCCAAGGAAAACCCTTTTGCTTTGTGGAAGTGCCTTGAAAGAACCAGGACAGCGCCAAGGTCACCTTGGGGAGGTGGGAGCGTGGCGTGGTCTCCGTCCAGGAGGGTGGGAAGGGTCTGCCCCGGGCTGGGGGAGGAGGAAGGAGTCCTTAGGACAAGTCCTCCACCGGCAGCTCCTCCTCCAGGTCCCTGTCGTCGGCGATCGTCACATTCTGGTTGGTGGTGGCCATCAGTGACACGGGTCTGCTGTCCTCCTCGGCCTCAGCTGGCTCCTCCTTCACGTGCACGGGGTGGCTGTGGGGAACAGGAGCCTTCAGCCTCGGGATGTGGATGCCACAACCCAAAACTCCCCAGATTTTTGGTCCAGAACCTCCCTCACCCTGGGAGCAGAAGCCAAAACCCTCCTAACTCTGAGAGCTGCCCACAATCAGCTCCTGGTGGCTGTGGGGAGGGGGAGCCTTCAGCCTTAGGGAGTGGGTCCCACCCCCCAAAAATCACTCCAAGTTTCTGGTCCAGAAGCCCCCTCACCCTGGGGATGGGAGTCAAACCCCTCCTAGCTCTGAGAACAGGAGCCAAACCCCCTTTGCCCTGCTGTGAATGGGAGCTCACAAGCATCTCCTGGTGGCTGTGGGGAGGAGAAGCCTTCAGCCTCAGGGAGCTGATCTCATAACCCACAACTCCCTGAAATTCTTGGTCCAGAACCTCCCTCACCCTGGGGATGGGAGCCCAAACCCCCTTTGCTCTGAGAGCTGCCCACAAGCAGCTCCTGGTGGCTTTGGGGAAGGGGAGCCTTCAGCCTCAGGGAGCTGATCCCATCACCCAAAACTCCCTGAATTATTTGATACAGAACACCCTTGCCTTGGGGATAGGAGCCAAAACCCCCTTTGCTCTGCTGGGAATGGGAGCTCACAAGCATCTCCTGGTGGCTGTGGGGAGGAGGAGCCTTCAGCCTCAGGGATTGTGTCCTACCACCCAAAACTCCCCAAAGTTTTTGGTCCAGAACCTCCCTCACCCTGGAAGCAGAAGCCAAAACCGCCCTTGCTCTGAGAGCTGCCCACAAGCAGCTCCTGGTGGCTTTGGGAAGAGGGAACCTTCAGCCTTAGGGAGCTGATCTCAAAACCAAAAACTCTGAGTTTTTTGGTCCAGAACCCCCTTGCCTTGGGGACGGGAGCCCAAACCCCCTCACCCTGTGGGGACAGGAGCCCAAACTCCCTCACCCTGTGGGGACAGGAGCCCAAACCCCTCACCCTGGGGGGACGGGAGCCCAAACCCCCTCACCCTGTGGGGACAGGAGCCCAAA